ATGCGCGGACGGGGCCGTGCTGCGCTGGTGCACCACCGGGGCGCTCTGCGCCTCCTTCCTGGGGCTGGTGAGTGAATGAGCGTGAGTGAGGGCGGCCCCGGGGAGCGGTGCAGACCCTTCTCCGGGACGGGCGAGGTGATCCCGCACTCTGCCCTGCAGGGGATGAGCATCGCGGTGCTGGGTCCCACCTTCCCCAACCTGGCCGCCAATGTCGGCAGGAACGTCAGCGACATGTACTACATCTTCGTGGGCCGGTCCCTGGGCTGTCTGGCCGGGTCGATGGTCGGCGGGGTGCTCTTCGACTGCATGAACGCCACTCTGCTGCTCGGTGAGTGCTGCCCCGCCGGACACTGTCCGGGCACCTTCTGCTTCTCCCCAGCGAGCGCAGCCCCAGAGGAAGCGGTGCCGAGCCCCGGGAACGGGAGGGTCCGTGGGATGTGGTGCTGCTCCCCGCAGATCCCCGCTCGCTGTGGCCGTGTTCCGCCCCGGCCGATGGCTGACACGGCCACTGTGCGCCGGGCACTGCTGCTCTGCAGCATCGCTGCCAGGAGCCTGGGCCCGCCGGGCACAGCCACAGCCGGAGCTGTGTACAGCACTGAACTGACAAAATCCGCACGGATTGACCGAGTGCTGCCTTCGGTTTGCACTGCCAAGTGCAACTGGGCTTTTTTTAGTTCGCATCAAGTAATGTGCACAGTGTAGGGTGCTCTTGGAACATAGCAGGCTTCTGCAGTGACACTACAGCACGTGGAACAGGAAGCTGTGTTTTGGCTGCCGGGTGTGCAGCGGAAACCTCCGGCAGTCAGGCTGAGGCGCATTTCTGTGGGGGAGCTTCCCCTTCCCTTAACACTCATCAGTCGCCATCAGCTTCGTGTACTGCACGGGAGTCTCAGGCTTTTGACTGGAGGACCGTAGCCAAATTTTTAACTTAATTAAGGTGGGAAACACTAATTACTGTCTGTAATGGTGGAAACATTTAAACTGTAGGAACCACAGTGGATGGTTTTGAGAGTTTTCTGGACTTGTGGAGACTTGCTCCTGTAGGGGCACAGGCCTGGCTTTGTCCAGGCAGAGTGAGGCTGCTCAGCCATCACGGTGCCTGGAGCCATACTCAACATCTAGAAAGGAGGGGCTCCTTTTAGGGTTGTCTTAGTCTCTCACTCCCTTCTCAAATTCTCAGATTCTCAGAACACACCTAAAATAGTGGAAGCCCTGGTCTCTTGTTTTCAAGTGCCTTTGTGCTCTAAGCTAGGGATTAAAATGTACACCAGGGCTTGCTGTTCTTCTCCTTAGCTGAGGGAACTGTGCCTCTCATAAGAACCATGCTGTAATCATATATATGGTCAGATCAGATAAGATCCCTTTTTCTATTGCTAGTGCTTGCAGTTGTGGAGTGGGTTCCCTTGAACCTCCTCCTTGTGCACCTGACAAAGTCAGACTTTGACTTCTGTAAAGGAATCAGTGCACACACCTGTAAAAATGCAATGTTAACTCAAAACAGTTTCTTTTCCTAAGGATAGCTGTCTGTCAACAATGCTTAGCAAATGATGGATCTCCTTATCCTTTCCAGCTTGGTGGTGCTTATGGCAAGACCACCACTTGAACTACTGAACCTGTTCTCATCATCTGAGGGCTGCCTGTAAAATATTTTGGCTTGTGTAGTTTTACCTTCCATCTTTCAACTGCTGGAACTCTGACACAGAGAAAAAAATCTACACAGAGGAAAAATCAAAAACATCATCTCTGTGTTTGTCAAGGAAATTTTTAAGTGCTAATCATCAGGCATAGAGCTGAAATGAACTACCGAGCCCTTGCTGGGAAGTTCTTTTTTGGGTCTGAGTGGGGCACCTTGGGAGCTGTACTTAATATTCCCCATCATGCAGCTCAGCATGCACACCTTCAAAAATGTTTTGAGGCATGTATTCTAAGTATCTTGCTAGGACTTTAGGGTTCTGGACATTGTTGCCATTTTTGTTTGGAATCAACCTAAATTCTTAATTACATCAGCCCCCACTGATGGTTTAAGTATCTGCTGCATCTGTGATCATGTCTGGATTTGAAAAATCATAGACACAGCTGAACTGGTACAAGCTTTCTAAGAACCTAATACTGTCTGTTCAAGTTATTAATTGCAGGTTGTTTTATTATGAAGGAAATTATAAGCATAGAATTGAACTGCTGAACTTCCTCCCAAATGGTAATAAAAGCAATTTCCGTCTGCTAAAAATATTTTTTGAAATGGCTTATTGTAAGTGTAGCCAATAATGGCAAAGCTAATACAGTTAATGAATTGTTATTAAACTTATTTATGAGAAATTTTGTAGTTCTGTCTAAAACTCCAGAAATTCCTTGGAATACATCCCTCATGTGAGAACAGAACATAAAGAAAAGTCAGAATATTTACATGGAGATCACTTGGTAGACAAGGTACAATTACTTCATAGGATTTTTAAGAGCTTAATTATTTGGGTTCTTTTAAAAATGGAGCCAAATTAAATGTTGTGCAGTTCTCAGAGAACTGGCTTGACACTGTTCAAACTCAGGTTTTACTGGTTTCACTGGTGAAGTGAAATCAGAAGTTTGCAGAAAACTTCAAGCAGGAGCTGCAGCTCTCTTTGATAAGTTTGTCATGCAGGCTTTACAGGAATATCCTGATGAAGTTCCTTTTTTTTTTTTCCAACTTAAAAATGATCTGTTGAACTTTCTAGCTGCTACTGCTAACCATGGATTGAAGTATTTACATTGCATCACTTATTAGGATTATCTGCAACTTTAATAATCATGAATTAATTTGTATTTCTTGGTCTTCTGTGTTATTTAAATAGAAACTGTAGTATGTGAGTTTTTTGTTTTGTTTTTTTAACCTTTCCAGCCTTATCCATGCTTGGAACAACGGCTGGTCTTTATGTGATACCCTGGTGTAAGGAATACCTGCTTTTAACAATCTTGATGTCAGTTATTGGAGGTTCCATGGGAATTCTGGACACAGGTAAGGGACCCTGTGGTCTGACAGTTCTTTCACCAAAATAATGGGAAACTTCAAGCATACCAAAACAGTTGCTGGTTTTTATCGTGATACATCTTAAATTATAAGAGGGGAGCTGTTTTACCTACCTGTGATTCTTGGATTAAGCTGGTTCTGAGGCTTCCATTGTTTGTGTGTGTGTGACAGGCCTTCCTTTAGGGGCTGGGGAGTGGCGAATATCTTGTTTCCTGGAGAAGATCAATTTGCATTTCAGTGGACTGTTACTCTAAGCAATTTTTAAATTACTCATTTAAGGAAACTGGTCAGGATATGGTTCATTAGTATTAGCTAGGCTTAAGCTAGTTCTGAGCACAGCCTTGGTATTTGAGATTCTTAACAGCTGCTGTTGGCAGAGTTGCCCACCTACAGCTGTCTCAGCATCAGCTGGGGTTTCACAGCACCATGGTGCCCATCTCCCTGAATTAAGGGATATTTCCCACCTTTGGCCAGCCATGCTTAGGTGTCTGGGAATACAAACTTGTTCTGTCCCCCAGATTCTAAGTCTGTGGCATGTGCTTACTGCAAATGTCCTGGGAAAAAAATCCCCAAGCCCAGCACTTTTGCTGAAAAGCTGTTCAAGCCCACTTTCTTAGCACAGGCTTATTATTGGAGGAAGGTGATCTCAGGGGTCTTTTAAAACCTAAATGATGCAATGATCCTGAGGTGTGTTGGTAAAGTTGCAGAACAAGTATAGGTGTGATCAGGAAGGTCAGTTGTTATACTGGAGGCATGAAAAATGAACTACCACAGAAACGGGTCCCCTGGGCACAGCTTAGACAGGGTGGGTTAGAGATGGCTGGCTTTAGCAAGCAGTTTGCATCAGGAGGCAAGGCCACAGCAAAGAGTTTTGGCACACCTAGAGATGCCTGGGAAATGCTGGCATACTTGCAATGTGGAGATTAGGAAATGCCCAAAAGTACATCAGTTAGCAGAGTGTTCTGGCTGACTGCTGGAGCACGTGGTGGTGAAGCAACACCAGCAGCCACTCCTGGCATCTCTCCAGCCATGTCCCAGCAGTGTGTGCTGAGCCTGCTGCCCTACTGCAGGAGCCTGGGGATGCTTACTAACCAGCAAGGTACTACTGGAGCTGGTTCATCACCTTAAGGGCAGGGTTACTTCTGAGAAGGAGCTGACCCCTGTGTTAGCTTAGCCATCCAAACAGCTCTGGAAGCATCCCAGCCAGGGCCTGGCTATGGTGGCTCGGCTGGTTGGCAGCACAGAGGAATGATGGCTGCACATGTGAACTGTCTGCCCTAACTCTGTGGGGTTTGAGGGAGCTCTGCTAAGGTGTAAAAAGAGCACGGCACAGGATCCAGTAGTGAAGAGATGGTTTTGCATGGCACAGGTCGTGTTAAATAAACTGAGTGCAGAGCTGTATTTGCTGACTCCAGTAAGATTGTTATACGTGGCACTTGGTTTAAAAATTCTTTTTGGGAAAAAAAATCTTGTCAGCCAATGGTAAAAATACCTTCAGTGGGTGTACTGCTTGGATCAGAGCTCAGAGCCAGGGAGACTTCACATGCTGAGCAGGAGTAGCAGAAGAAACTCACAGCAAGGCAGAAGAGCAAAGTTGAATTGATTTGGAAGAGTGCTGAGTGACAAGGGCTGCTGTACTGCAGCACAGGAATTTGATTAGTGTTTTGTTTTCCTGCATTCTTCTGAGGGACTACTTCAAAACACCTCTCTGAGATCTTATTTCCTACCATTATTGTTGATCTAACGATCTTGTAGTTTGGTGTTTGCAGCAGTATTGAGGTAAACCCTTCTGTTTCTGGAAAGTCATTTGAACACAGTGGGGTGGACCCAGCCCATCAGAAGCAAGTGAATTGTTATTTTTCCTGTGGTGTTGTTTAATGAGGCCTCTGATTCTTAGCACTGGGCATTTTTGCTTTTGATACTTAGAGAAATGAGAAACGCTTAAATCCACATGTCTTTTAAATACCTCTAGGGATGGTGACTTAACCACTTCCCTGGGCAGCCTGTTCTAATGCTTGACAACCCTTTTCCATGAAGAAATTTTTCCTAATACCCCATCTAAAACTCCCCTGGCACAGTTATGTCTGTCCATTGCTGCTGGATTAAGCCACCGTGTGACTCTTTGTTTTGACTGCTGTGAATATCCTCCTAAAGCTCAAGTAATATTCCAGTTAACTGGTGTTTTGCACATTGTATTTGCTAAACCTGGCACTATTGTGCATTGAATCAGTAATATAGGTTAGTTTGTTTTGTTTTGTTTTGTTTTTCTTTTAAACAATATCTGGTTGGTCTTGGACTAAAATGACTCTTTCTCTCTCTGATCTGCAGGTGGCAATGTACTGGCACTGAATACCTGGGGATCAGAGGTTGGGCCACACTTGCAGGCTTTGCACTTCAGTTTTGCTGCTGGTGCATTTCTGGCTCCGATCGTTGCTAAAATGGCTGTGGTGGGTTCTGTATCTGAAGAACTTGCAGGGGCTGAAAAGACAAGCCAGTCTGTCCTGAAGTCTCTGCCGACAGCATCAGCTGCATCAACTACACCAGCACCAAAAGACCGTCACGATGAAGACTTTTTGTGGTCCTATATTATCATAGGGAGCTATATTCTCTTAATTTCCATCTTCTTTTTTGTTTTGTATTCAAAGAGCAGCTCAGATAGAGACAAATCAAAGGCTGCTGCACAGAAGGGCAGGCTTACCAAATACCACTGGCCTCTAGTTGGTCTCCTGTTCGTATTCTTCTTGTTCTACGTGGGAGCAGAGATCACTTACGGCTCTTATTTATTTACTTATGCAGTGGTCTTTGCTGAGATGACGGAAAGTGAAGCAGCTGCTTTGAATTCTGTCTTCTGGGGCGCGTTTGCCATATGCAGAGCAGTGGCAATATTTGGTGCTGCTTTCCTGTCCCCTGCCACCATGATCGTGATAAGTCTCTCATGCTCTACTGCCTCCTCATCAGCCCTGGCCTTCTTTGCACATTACCGAGCCTCGCTGTGGGTGGGAAGTGCCGTGTACGGAGCATCCATGGCCACCGTCTTCCCCAGCGGCATCGCCTGGATAGAGCAGTACACGGTTATTGAAGGAAAAACGGCTTCTCTGTTCGTGGTGGGCGCGGCGCTGGGCGAGATGTGCATTCCTGCCGTGGTGGGCCATCTCCAGGGCAGGTTCCACCACATTCCTGTCGTTATGTACACTGCCTTTGCCACTTCCTTAATGACAGTCCTGCTCTTCCCCGTGATGTACAAACTGGCCAACGCTTCCCGGAAGAAGGACACGAAAGAAGTGACTGACAGCGAGACCAGTAAAGGTTTGTTGTCAAACTCGAGGCTTACTGAGGACGAGGAGGAAGAGGAGGATGTGAGAGAGTGGAACGATGCAGACTTCGAGGTCGTAGAAATGAATGACAAGCTGAAAAACTCTCTGACGGACACCTCCCATAGGATACCAGGGGACTCTGCAGCTGAAGTCTCTCTCCAGCCCCAACTGGACAATGCATTGGGCCATCCTCCAGTGATTGCTGGTGGCTCCCCTGGCAGACAAAATGGGAATGTTGACTCGGAGAAGAGTGAATAGAGTCAAAGATGACTTTTTTTTTTTTTTTAAATGGAAATTAATTGAATTGTAGTTGTTGTCAAGCGGTTCAGGAATCCTGTCATAGTGGTGCAGAGCTCAGTGTGTTCATCTGCCCAGCCCTTTCTCCTCTTTCATTTTCAGCCTGCAGGGATGTGTCTTGGAGTGGGAAGGTCCTCAGTGCTGGGAATGGGTCAACATGATAAATGTTTGGCTATGCCAAAACTGTTAAAACATAAGAGATGCTTTCTAAATGTGAAGCACACATCCAAGGAAGAGATGCTGTAATAACTGGGAAAGAAGGGGACTGCTCAGATGACTCAGTTTTTTGAGGTGGGTGAATGGTGCAGATCTGAGGTCACAAAATGTTTTCATGAGAGATGAGAGAGATCTGTTATTGGTAATGCTGAACTTTCTTACCTTGTGAAGGAGGAATGTTTCTACTGCATTTGAAAGTTGTGTGTGATCAGATCAGTTAAAATTTCTGGTGATGCCCAGCAGCTGTAAATTGAACAACCTTTTGGCAAACTACAGAAATTTTTGGTTCTGAGACAAAGACAAGAAAAAACTGGAAATTACTTCTTAAGAGTGAAACCACACCAATCATGGCACTACCACTGAAATCGAGAAATGTATGCAGAAGATGATAAAATTATTATGCAATCTTTGAATGGTTTGAGTTGGAAGGGACCTTTAAAGATCATCCAGTTCCAACCTGCTGCCATGGCAGGGACACCTTCCACTGGACCAGGTTGCGCAGAACTCTATCCAGGCTGACCTTGAAAACTTCCAGGGATGGGGCATTTACAACTTCTCAGGGCAACCTGTTTCAGCGCCTCACCACCTTCACAGGAAAGATTTTTCTTCCTTTCAGTTTGAAGCCATTCCCCCTTGGCCTATCACTACATGCTCTTGTAAAAAGTCCCACTCCATCTTTCTTGCTGGTTCCCTCCAGGTAGAAGAGATTACTTAATATATGGTGTTTTTAAGCCAGTGGTTTAAATTAAGGTTACAGCAATTTCTCTGGCTTCCTGTGCTAAGATTTAACAGGCTAATGTGTTACAATGAAGATTTGAGAAGGAGAGAGAATTATCAATGAATCAACCCTTTCTAATATGACTACTTGCCCCTGGCCAGTTGGATTGGTGACATTTGCATTTATTTCTTTGGGGGATGACATGGAGATGGACTCTCCCTAGCGGAGAAGCCATGGTTTGTATGTGTAGGTTCATTGCTGCTAAGCACAAAGTTCTGGGCAGGCACAGCCATGCCAGGGAGCCCTTCCAGTAAGAGAAGAAAAAAAAGTAGCAGCAAATGGCAAAATCTGTCTGAATAGTAATCTTGCCATTTGTCAGCTTGGAACTCCAGATCAGTTAAGTATTTTTTTAAGTCTATGTGATCAGAATGTACTCTTGTTTGGGGTTTTTAACTTTGCACTTTTATAAATATTTTTCTTGCTAAGAGGTTTCTTTTAGTAACAAAAGGGCTCTAGGTATAACATAGCACAGAATCTTAGATGTTCCCTGGGTTTCCAGGTCTGCTTTTGTTCCCTCTCTTGTCCTACAAGTGTGCAACCTGGGCTTGCATGTCTTTTTCTCTTCTTCTGAGAAGCTAATAAGAAGCCAGAGTCAACTTGCAGTGAAAGTTTTTTTGTTTATATCTCACCATGTTGCAGGGCCTCTCTCTCTCTCTGTGCTGCTGGCACTTCAATGCCACTGTGTTTCTGACAGATTGCTTCTGTAGCACCTTTTTCCAGAGCAACCCATGAACCTCCACTTTAAAATGGAGTCTTGTTACACTTGTGGCACAATGGTTCTGTTTGCTTGCAGGAATGGTAAAGACTCGTAAATGCCAGTCCCAGTCCTGGCCTAGGCACAGGTGCCAGGGGTGAGTCACTGTGGCCCTGCATGCTGAGCTGGTTTGCCGTGGAAGTAAGTGAGGTAGGCAGAGAGAGTGGATAGAATGAGGGCAGCTGGAGCCTGTATTTCACTGTTTTTCCTCTTCCCATTTTTCCTCCTGCACCCTGCTCCATTCATGTGGAAAGCAGGGGGTGTCAGCTGATGGTGAGGACAAATCCCACTGGTGGAGGGGGAGGGAGAAGGTGCAGGACACAAGGAAAGATATGGAAACTGTTCTGTGGCAGCTTCCCCCTGGAGCTGCCATCCCCCTGGCTTTACCTGCATTGACATTGCTATAAAAAAGTTTCCCCATACTTAAGATCATGTTGCCAGAAGAAAATTATCTAAAGAAAGATACTGGGCAACCAGGAAGATTCTAAACTCCCCCAGTTCACGTGCTAATTTTGGATGAAATTCCAGAGCAGATTGTCCTACGTGTAAGACTGTTCTTAGGGATAGTTTACATGGATTGTTTACTTGATTATGCAAATGATATAAAGTACAAAAAAACTCCAGAAAATTAAATCAAAGCTACATTGGGAAATATGCTGTAATCTCTTAGAAGCTGATCTACTGCATATATACAAACACTTATTTGTGTTTCTGACCATCTTCCAGAAAATGTAAAAATATTGCACAAAAAAAAGGGGTTTTTTTGTTGGTTTTTTTTTACTGTCTGTATTAACTCCTGTGCGAGTAACTTCAATTCCATCCCCATTTCCTCCTGAAAAAGTAGGAGGCCTATGTAGTAGAAATGGAGGAACAGGCTGGAATCATGGTTAAGAGCAGCTTTTTCCCTCGAATAAAGGATCCAAAAAGCAGTGGCTGTAAGACAGTGGAAGCTCAAGAATTAACTATGTAGAATCACTTTCCACTGATGTGGACTTAGTAAGGACTTGGAACCTTCACTGTCTTAGTTTTGGTCTTAAACTTGAAGAGAGATAAGATGGACAGAAAGCATTCTTCTTATCCCTTAACAAGTGTGCTTCTAATAGCAGGGGCTGCCCTTGACTGAAAATTAAACACTTGAAGCAATTTAAGTTTAAAACAAGATCTAGGACATTTCCAAGGATGAGTCCAGCTCATGCCAGTTCAAGGCACCCTCAGCGGTCAAGGCTTAGCTCCCTGCTCTTGGATTTTACTGTTCCTCAAGGCCTTTTTTCAGACAATGAATGTTAGTTTTCATATGTTAAAATTTCCTTTCAAAATGCTTCCTGGCATGTACAGCTGAAGTGAAGATCTAGTTACAGTGCAGATCTATTTTAAGTTACAGGTGGTTCTCCAGAAAGCTCAAGTACTTACATGTTAGGGGTTGAAATCACTTTGAGTAACTGTATTACATTACTATTGCCCTGCTTATGCTAGAAAAGCCATCCCTCTGTTGAAGACAAGAGCTTTAAGCCATGGATGCAGTACCTGAATTTGATAAGAATCTTCTTTTTGTCCACAAAAATAAGGCATAAAAAACCCCCAAAACTATTCCACAAAAACCAGGAATAGTTTGAAGATGAGTGCTCTGCTCCAGTGTGAAAGTTAACCTCTTCCAGCTAAGTGTCATTTAATACTTTATTTATGCTGAGGCACTGCCAAGTGCTGGACTGTATTGCAAGCACTCACTCCTGGCATTTGCACTTTTATCCTCTACATGACCAATGCTTGAATGCAAGACCAGGCAAAGTTTTATGCCTTGATGTTTTCTTTCTTTTTTAAAGTTACTTTGCATACAAGTGCATTGCAATCTGTGGATGTTCTATTATATATGTAGTAGTTTTTATTCTGCTTGATGTGCGTTTTAAATTGTACCGTGTTCTGTGACATTTAATAGACTAACTTGTGTCTTGACTGTAATAAATTTTTATCTGGAGAATGCACTCAGGTTCCTTGATATAAATAAAATTTTGTTCTATTTTTCAAACATCTTCTGGACTTTTAAATTCAAAACTCAGTCCTTTTTTGACTAATGGTAAACTGGAAATGTTTCTCTTCTGGTTTGGGGAAGGCCTCCAAGAATTGCTGCTGATATTTTAGATCCCAAAGTTTAAGCTTTGATTTGAGCAGTGTTGTTTTCACATTATTGTGTGTGCCAGAGAATGGAAACAAATTTAGGGTAAATATTAAAAACACCCATATAATTTTTTACCATATCATTTTATTCAACTTCAGTATGGTTTCCATTATTAACTTCTAAAACAAAATGATTTCCAGTTTAGAAAACAATGCACTGACCACATAATTCCTTTTCCATTTTATACAGTTATACAAATATTCTAAATACACATTTTGTCAAGATGGTGGCAAATAAGATTTAACTGTACAGTACGTAAGGAAAGAAAATATTTTAAGCATATTTAGAAGCAATAGAAATGTCTATACAAAACAAGCAAAAATGGAATAAAATTTTATATTTAAAGTATTGCAACAGTCCCACAGGTTTGTAACAAAAATGTCTTTGCACAGTTCCTCACAATGCCCCATTAATAGCTAAAGCAAGACAGCAATTTTTAGAAAATAATGTTTCAAAATGCTACACATGGTACTACTGCTTGCACAGTCTGATCAAAATAACGATCTACTTGGAATCAAGCAAAACTTAGGAGGAGATATACCAACCAACTTTAAAATTATCTGTATAAAAGTCATTGCACATTATTTTACTCAGTTGTTTGAAAAGTAAAAAAGTGTATTTACAAAATATTTCGCAGACAAAATTATAAAGTGAATGGATAATATATAAGTAACACGTCTTGATACTGACAGTTCAAGAACACACACGAATGGTTTTATCGTTTCAAGAGGTTTTCAGTGCTTCTTCCTCCAGGAAGTAAACTTGACTTCTACTTTGAAATGGATTTACAAGATGTTACACAGAGCTATTTCAACATCAGCATTATAAAACAGTATGTTAGAAACATGAAAGGAAGAAGAAATTTTTACATCTTAAAAAGTGAGCTATTCATAGATCAACAAATGGGTTGGGTTTTTTTCTTTTTTTAATTTAGTTATGGTAAGTGTTCATTATTCTTCAGATAATAAACCCAACAGTTAAAATGGAAATCTTGGACTAGGTGAGAATTGAAAAAGCACCATGCACAATAGTCTTAGTGTGGTAAACACTGAAGAAAACAAAAATAGCACCTGGAATCCTGTAACACAGATCGTTTAAAACTGGTCAAGCAGCTGGCGGAGATAGGGTGCCTTTGACAGTTCTCTGCTCACTCTGGAGCGCTTGAAGAGTACTGGGCAGTTGAGGGAGACACACTGGATCTGCCGATCGAAGCAGCCTGTGCAGTTCTTGCATATCTGGATTACACAAGAAAAAGAGAAACAACTATTTTAAACAACACAAGTGAGGCACAGACCACTAGGGACTACTAAATCCTCAAGCCTGTATCAGCAGAACAGGCACAGCCCTTCTCCCCAACATGGAGTGACCCAGAGCAGCTCCCTTCTCTGCTTCAAGCCTCTTGGGCTGCTGCCAGACAGCTCATTTGGCCACTGGTGGGTGGCTGGCAGCAACTCCCACTGAACTGGGCAGAGAGCAACAGCAGGACTCTACAGCTTGGGTTTCAATCCTGCTAATTATGTTCTGCTTGCATGTGGTGGCACTTGAAAAAACAAGGTAAATTAAGTTTAAGCAGGGAAGTGTGTTCTATTTGTGATAAACTTACTCTCTATAAAAGTCTAGTGAAAAAAGACAACTCTTATCCTGCAGTTATTCTCGGCAGAGAAAAGGGACTTTAAATAAATTACTCGTTTCAAGATAAGCTTTAATAAGTTTTACCTAGTCAGAGTCAATCAATCCCAACACAGAAATACACAGGCCACAGAAGTTGTACTGCTCACCTTGTTTAAGGAACTACTTGTTAATGCTGCTTGAAAGTACTTTAAATGTGAGATACCTGATGGAATAAAATAGCAGCAGGCACAGTTTTTCCAAAGGTAGATATCTTTTGGAAACTAAAGGCCACTGCTTTGCTATTTTATTTTTACCCTTTGCAGCATTGGCCACCTCCAACTGTTTTTCCAAAACCGTAGAAATTTGCTTCCAACCACACCTATGTTTTGTAACATTAAAATATTGCACAGTTTATCCTACCATTTGTACAGCCTGATCAACAAACCCAAATTATGTCCCTTTGCTTTTAAAACTAATTCTTTTCCTTCTTTCCAGGTCCCACGCTGATACCAGGCCTGCATCAGCACCAAATCCCTTCAGACTGACTTAGCTGGAAAGGGGCAGCCCCTCCTGGCCAAGTCCCACAGGTGGCGCCTCAGAGTGCCTGCAACAAATCCTCTGGCCTGCAACTGTGACCAGAAGGAACAGGATTTAAACAGCTGGTTCCAGGTTTGTAACCTCAGAACTCAGGCTGTGGCTGGTTTAAATGCAAAGGACCAAACTAAATGGCACTTGAGATATGTCCTAAATTCAGTTTGTGTTGAGGGGAGAAGTCTATGGTTTTAACCTGGAGCATGTAGTTTTTGAGTGCAGTTTAAAATAACGTACAGCTCAGTGTTATATCAGTTTTCTGTTGGCTTCAGCATGTTTATAATCTCAAAGGGCTAAAAATTTAAGCTGTGAAGGATATATATGCCTTCATATTAAAATAAGACACATGCTCCTACAGAGAGATCAAACGCTGACTGGAACAGGATGCCAGGCCTTGAGTGTTGCAGGGACAAGAGAACGTTCGAATCAAACTCACTGATCCTTCTGTGGGGCTGGACCAGTCTGCCAAGTTCTGCCTTATTCCTGAACAAGAGCAATGCAAAGGGCTCAAAGTACCACAGGAAAACAGCAGAACGTGCATTTCCTCATTTCTGCCATTCGCAATGCAGATAAAGGCAAATATTACAAAATACAGCAAATAGTCCACACCTTAGTAATGAAATATTTATGAAGTGAATTACAATGCGTTTTTAGCAACCCCATGAGTATCCATCAAATCAATGCTTAGATTTATGAACATTTATATCCCTGGCTTTAAGACAAATCTTTAAAATAGTTCATGTGCTAGTGCTAAAAATAAATTTAAACTAAAATATTTATTAATTATAAAATATGACAGTATGAAAATTAGGTGAGGGTATGCACATGTTTCCACAAGGGGAAGCATTGTGCTTTGCTGTAATTTATTCATGAGCACAGTCAGCTACCGTCTTAATTGACTTCTAGCTCAAGGGGAAAAAGCAGCTTGCAAAATTCCTATCAAGAGGAAAGGTAACAAGAAAATCCCCAAGCTAAACCACGTCCATGTTATACATATAAATAAATAAATTTTCTGGCCCCAACATTTTTGTTTCTAGAACATCATCTGTTTTAATGCAAAAAAGAGTGAATCTTTTACACTCTCACAGCTCTCTGTCATTATAAAAAGGGACCTACAAACCATACAGGGTACTCTTAAAAATCAGAAGAAAATGAGAAAAGCATTTTCTGTTCTGATCTCCTCCTTTGCCTTAGCTTTCCACCAAAGCCTAGGAGATTAACAGCTGCTGCACTGCCTTCACCAACACTGGGAAAAGCAAACAAGCTGCAGCACATTTAACACCCGGACCATACTTCCCATTTCTGTCGGGAGTATTCAGTAACACACCGCTTTGAAATTTCAGCCCCTGTCTTTTGCTGGCAGACATCTGACAATGCTTTAATCGTACCTGGACCAGCTGTTCTTGTTTACGCTCCAACTCTCGGATTTCTTGGTTGAGAATCACTGCCACATGCTGTGGCTGGCTTCTGCATTTATTACAGATCCCATACTGGGTCAGTTCATCACACACGGGACAGTGTAAGGTCGTGAAATACTGGGAGATGGTGCCTTTGCGTCCTTCTAGCTCAGTGTGGGCAGCTGAGGCAGCCTTCTGAAACTGTTAAGAAAAATAATTAAGAGGTAATGAACTTACGAGAGAGCAGCTTGCCTTTTTCCTCGATTATCCTAGATGACATACTTTTTTTTTTTTTCCAAAGGAGTAAGAAAGTGCAAGATGGCCTGCAGGGCATGGGTTCATACACAAATTATGAACATGGATCACGGCACTCTGAAGAGCGCAACACTGGCCCCTGAAGTGATACGATGAACAGAGCCCTCCCCACACCTATTTCACAGGGAATCTGTAATCATAAAAATCCTTGGTCACATGCTTAACTCCTGATCTCACCTCAAGCTCTGCCTCCTGCAGCTGTTCCTTTTTAGGTGCTGATCTGATTCGCATCTAAATGTGCCCTGGCTGCAGCCCCAGTGGCTGCCTTCTGGATGCTGCCTGCCCTCGAGTGTCTGTGCCGGGCAGTCCTGGGCACAGCTCTGCCATGGTGCTCTGGTCCCATGGCTCTAGCTCATGCTCTGATTTCCTTGGACAAGGCTCCACCACTGGCCCATCACCCTGGGAAGTTCATTGTCTGCATTTACTCCTGCTGCTGCATGGCTTTTGCTTTGTGCTATCCTTCATTCTCCTGTGGCTCTGCTCCCTGTGACTTCCTTGCAGCTCCTTGGCCTTGCAGAAAGCCAGGGCTCTTTTTACCTTTTTAAAACAGCTTGTTGGAGATACTTAAGGTGACTGCCACGGTGCCATTGGAAAGGTAAAGAAAAGAAGAAGAACTGAAGTCAATCAAGGCTGTATTGGGAAATACAGCTATACTACTATATTGCAGTGGGAACACGATGTACCACTGTGCTGCTGAAGTCTGTTCTGAGCACAGTAACCAAACTACACAGATACACTGTCTTTCACCATCCCTTTTTGTCAGGGGAAATCACAAACTAAAATCCAGCTATCTAATGCTTCTTTTCCTGCATCTCAGTGACTTCTTTAACCTTTAGGGAAGACATATTTGGATATTATTTGTTTTAAGTTCCTGGTGATACAAATTTTTAAA